GCACAAAGTTAGAATCGTCCAGTCCATTGTATTCCTCATCACCATGTATGGATGTGAAAGCTGGACAGTGAAGAGAACAGATAAGAAGAAAATCAGCTCATTTGAGTTGTGGTGCTGGAGAAGAGTGCTGAGAATACCATGGACAGCCAAACAGACAAACAAATGGATCCTAGAACAGATCAAGCCTGAGCTCTCCCTGGAAGCCAGGATGATCAAATTGAGGCTGTTGTACTTTGACCACATCATGAGAAGGCATGATTCATTAGAAAAGACAATAATGCTAGGAAAGGTGGAGGGAAATTGAAAGAGAAGAAAACTGCACTCATGTGGCTAGACCCGATCAGGGAGATCACAGGCCTGAATCTACAAGACCTAAGCAAATCAGTGGAGAATAGGAGGTCTTGATGTCTCATCCACAGGGTCACCATGAGTTGTAGTCGACTCAAGGGCATTAACAACAAACCCTAGTTTAGCACTAACCTGGCTGAACACATGGGAATATAAATTCAGACTTTAAGTGCTAGGTCTTTAAAGCTCTGGGTCTGGATGGACAAATCTATCAGTTTTGGGGTTTTTTTCCTTTTTAAAAAACCTTTAGGTTCTTGGCATTTGGAACATGAGTTTTGCAAATGTGGGGAAAATACTATAAAAATAAATTAAGTTAAAAGTTTCTTCATCATTAGAATCTGACTTTGGGTCTCTGAGAGTCTCAGTCCTGGAATCTCACAAGTGCTTCCTGGTTCAGTCTACAGTCTTGTGCTCTTGTGCTCAAGGTCTGCAAATTTGTTGTTGTTGTTGTTGTTGTTGTTGTTGTTGTTGTTGTTGTGTGCCCACAAATCATTTCCAGTTTATGGCATCCCTAAGGTGAACCTATCATAGGGTTTTCTGGGGCTGAGAATGTGTGACTTGCCCAAGGTCGCCCAGTGGGTTTCCATGGCCGAGCAGTGAATCCAACCCTGATCTCCAGAGTCTGAGGACATAATCACATGTGGGCCAGTTTAATTGTTAAAGAGATAATAAAGTAGAAATGAAGCATCCCAAAAAGAAAGCGAAAAAAGAGTTTAATTGCGCAAAAGCTTTTCACACCTAATTACAGTAATAACAGAATTAAGTTAAGAGCGAAAAAAAGACATTTTTAACTTTCATACACAAGTGAAAAGAACCCGTACATGTACTGGAAATGGGTGTGTTTCATGACAAGACTCCTCCTTTTCCAAGGCGGGTCCTGCATTTCCCAGGAGGAAATGTCAGACTGTCCTACATTTGGGGTCATGTCCTCCTGCACAGGTCCTAACCACCTTCGGTTGGGGTTAGGACCTCTCAAGAGAGCAGTGGAGGAGGCTGGAAAGGCAAGGCAAGCCGAGGCAAGGGAGGGAATGAGATGGCTCAGCCTCCCTTTTCTCTCTCCTTTCCTGGCATTGGAGGCTGTCAGCTGCTGGGGAGATGGGCAAGGAGGGCAGGATCACAGAGCTGACAGGGAAGGAGGAGGAGGAGGAAAGGGAAGGAGGGAAGGAAGGAAGGAAGGAAGGAAGGAAGGAAGGAAGGAAGGAAGGGCTGGGTGTTCCCTGGGGAGAGCCAGAGCCTTGGATGATGCCCAGGAGAGGGGGAAACTGGAGGTAGCTCCCATGCCCCCCCCCCATAAGCCTTTCCCCTTTGTAGGACCTACAGGGCAGAACTTCATGGTGAGATGGATCTCCAAGTTGCTCCACAAGCACACCCCACACTTGCACCCACATCCACCCATCGCAAAAAATGGGTGCATAAATTACATGCCTGAACCCCCCTTGCATTGACCACTGCAAGTGGTGCACATATTTGACCAACACAAAGAGGCTGCATCTTGTGTCCATATTCATCATTATCTCCCTAAGATATGATTGTGGGAGAGGAAATTTTTTGTAAAGCACATACACAGAACTTTGAAACTAAAGGCATAACAAATGACAAGTGTTTTCGATTTTTCAGCTGAGGGCCTTCTCAACTCTGGCGCTCCTGTTGTAGAATATCCTCCCCTTGAAGGCCCAGTTGATGCCAACATTAAAGCCAACTAAAGCCTTTGGGACCTAACTTGTTACATATGTACATGGATTTAAGTAATTTTAAATTGTTTTAACTAGTTTTAATTTGTCTTTTTAACTTACTATTTAATATGTTTTAGCCTATTAAAATCATTGTTATTTTTATACTGATTAAATTAGTATTTTTTAAAATTGTATGCTGTCCTGAGATCTTTAGACAGAGAGCAGGATATACACTTGTCCCTTTGGGTTTGTGGACTTGCTGTCTGCAGTTTTTATCCTTTGTGGATGGCAGGCAAGGAAGGACAAAATGGCACGTGTGCCAGTTGCACATGTGTGGTGGCAGTGCACACAGGAGCGTACCACCATTAAAATAAATGGGGCTTGAATATTTATTTTTTTCCTGTTTGCGGGGGGTGGGTGTCTGGAACGGATCCCCCGTGAACGGGAAGGGACGACTGTACTGTATATACTCATGTATAAATCTAGAACTTTTAGTAAAAAAATTAACCATAAAAAGACCATAAAAAAAGTTGATTTATTAATGAGTCAATGTAGGTACTGTATTTTAGCTCTGGTGAAAGGCAAGAGTGTAATCTGTCCTGGAAGCACTGTTCCCACTCAATTCTCCCATCCATCCAGCCTTTAGTGTGAGCACAATTATGCCTGCTGGAATTTTCTAAGTTCTTTGGCATTGTTTCCTTTCCTTCATCCTTTGGATGCTTTGTTATATGCCCCTAAGTTTTACCCTCGACCTATCCATGGGTCACATCAAAATCCATAATTTTGGCCCCAAAACCTGCCTTGACTTATACATGAGGTCAACTTATAGTCGAGTATATACGATAAATATTTTAATAAATACATTATCTAAAGACAACTAAGTTCTCTGCCTGTAGGGAAAAAACACATTTTGGCTTCTGCTTATTTTCACTTTGGCCTCATTCTATCACGCAACTGCTGCATTGTATGTAGGAGGAAAGGGGTTGAAATAGTGCACTTTATAAAACAGAAAGCATAGCCCCCAGATTGTGATATAGAAAACAATGCAAAATAAGTTGCTTTGAACACTGTAATCTTGCTATTGTTGACTTTTCTCCCAAAATCAGGACTCCACGCAGATAAAAATTTAACAGAACAGTACAGCCTGCCCTCCCCAACTTCAGGTTTCCCATCTGCGGACATAAGCACCCATGGGCGGCAAGCCCCATTGCCGCTGATGGCCGCATGTGCACATAACCATGTGTCGCCATTAAAAACTGTGGGACTTGAGGTCCCACTTTTTTTTCATCCAAGGGGGGGGGGTCCGGAATAGACACAAAGAGACCACTGCCGCTGCAGGGAAGATTGAGGGTCCCCAGCGCTGCTTCCCCGAGGCAAGGGTGGTTCCTCACGAGGAGACTGCCACCACCGCAGGGAAGGAGAAGGCCAAGGGCAAAGGAGGAGTGAGCGCTGCCTTTTGGTACAGCAGGTGCTGCCTAGTGCAGCAGGTGACACTGGAGCTGGCAATGTCACTGGGGTTTAGTAGTCTAGTGAGGCACTAAAGAAGCTCTCTAGCTAAGCATTATATAGTCAGCCCTCGGTATACATCTGTGGACAGAATGCCCACGTTGTCCCCAATGGTGCCGTGTACATGGGGCTGCACCACCATTAGGAACAGCCTCTGTTGTCCCCTAGGGATGCGTGGATAAGGCCATGCTGCCATTACGTTCTGTTGTCCTCAATGGAGGCACGGCCGCATGCATGTGCTGCCATGGGACAAGGGGGGCTGTCCCTAATGGTGCGGCCACATGCACACACCACCACTGGGGACAAAGCAACTTGAGCATCTGTGAATTTTTATATCCATGGAAGGGTCCAGAATGGATCCACTGCTGATACAGAGGGCCGATGGTAAATTTTTGTTGTTGTTAACTGCCTTCAAGGTGACTTTGACCTATG